GGCTCTTTGCCTTTCGTTTCTTTTAATTGGAGGCCATCTGCAATTGACTTTCTGGCAAATTCGTCTACATAATTTTGGATTAAACTTGAGTCATTTCTAATTACGGATTCAGACATAGTTGTATCATCGACATACTTCCACAGACCGTCAACACCAGATACATTCAGTTCGTTTATCATTATTACGAAGAGCCAGGGGCCTAACTTCGTGCCTTGAGGGACACCTGCGGGTACATCACTCCACTCTGAGAAGCAGTCATTACTCAGTTTCACTCTCTGTTTGCGGTTACTCAGGAAATCTAAAATCCAGTACATAATGGTTTTAGGAATGTTATATCTTGTAAGCTTCTCCGTTAAAATGTTATGATCAATCAGATCAAAAGCTTTCCGAAAGTCAAACAACATAACGCGGGTAGTAGAGCCATTTCCGTCTGTATTTTTGGTCCAGGTATGTAACATGGAGATGAGGGCATGTGTGGTGCAAGATTTAGGCACAGTACCAAACTGTCTCTTATCGACCCTTTCCATCACTGTTGGTTTCAGATAACGGTTCACAACGAAATCTTCCGCCAGTTTTGACAATATCGGTGTAAGTGAGATCGGACGCAAATGATTGTTAATAACTTGAATAGATTTTTCCTTTGGGATTGCGACTACGTCCGCCTCCTTCCATGAAGGGGGAAGGCAACATTCACGATAGGAGCAATTGAGCATATCCGTTACCGAACCGGCTAATAAGTCGGCATTTTCCTTCAGTAACCACGGAGGTATACCATCAGGGCCAACAGCTCTTTTTGGATTAAGTTTTGAAAGCTTTTCAAAGACGACATCGGCCGACACGGTAAGTACAGTGTCTGTCAGTAGACTTTCAGTGCAGGAACGACGATGAAGATCCAAGGAAAGAGGTGCGAATATGGACATTGAGGACAAGAAGGTATTGTTAATCTCGTTTGCTAAGTCTTTCTTTACTGCACTGGATAACTATAATTGGGTCTTAAGGCTTTCACAATCTTATCAGAGTTTTCCTCAACTACTTTCATACCGCTCAGTCTTTTGACCTCGTTCCACCAAGCATTAGACTTACATTAGTTCAAATGTTGAACAGTGGTTTTGTAATATTTAGTTCGGCAGATTTTCCTCTGGCGATTGACTTGGTTCCTCAAATATTTGAACTCCTCGATATTTCCCTGATTGAGAGCTTTTTGACGATTTATAATAAGGCTCTTTAGTGACGACTTCATCCAGGGGGGATCGTTAGATTTAATCTTTTTCCTTCGTAATGGGAGGACATAATCTAAGCCAGTTTTAACAATATTTTCCAGAAGCGAGGCTTTTTCATCACAAGAATCAACTCTGCTAAGCATTTCTGGGATATCTACAAGCTCAAGATATTTACGCATTGCAAGACGGGAACTAGGCCGCAAGTCCCTCGTTTTTACCGTAAGTTTTGACTTTTCTTGGATATTACGACGCTCGACTGGTCTCACCTCAATAGACATATGGTCTGATAACCCAAAGGGGGCACACTTAGTAGGTTGATCAAGGAATGCATTAAGATTTGTTAAAACAATGTCAAGGGTATTGTTTCCGCGGGTTGGAAAATTGACAAGCTGTTTTAAATCATAGCCAGTTCTTAGACGTGAGGTATTAAGTTTATTAAAATCACCAAGGATAATAAAGCCACAATTAGGGAAACGCGATTCCATTACTGATAAGCAGTTTGATAGATAATTCAGCATAGCTGCATTTTCCGCACTTGGTGGGTGATACACTGTTCCAACAATCAAATTAGTAAATCCCCTCGGCAGTCGGGTTGGACGCATAATCCATAATACTTCGAATAAGCTGTCAAATAATTCATCCAACACTGAAAATTCTATGGTATCTTTAATATATATACAGTCCCCACCATGTTGACGTTCGCACCTGTCTCTGCGAATAAGGTTATATCCCTGTATGTCGACAACGTTGTCGTGAATGTGGCCCTGCAGCCAAGTCTCGACTAAACTAACAAAGTCGTAATTTCCTCGGTATATGACGTCACGCACTTCGGCCAGCGACATCACATTTGAAAGTAAAAAGGCAGGAAGATATGCAAATTTTGACCTAATATTTGCGGTTCTGGCTGGGGTTTCTAGGGGCATTTCAATAAGATTATTCAGGTTTCTCGATCTATGTTTTTTAGTTATCTTAGTGTCAACAGAGGTGGTGGATATAACAGGAATATGCTTAGGTTCCGTATTTACTCGATAGTTATGGTGTACACGCGTGTGGTACGTTTCCAGTACATTCTGTGTGTGTCGTGACACGAAATTTAAATAGACTTGCCAGCCCGGTGGGCGGCGTTTCCGGCCGTAACGGGAAAAATAATTCGGGCGTTCTTCTACATGACTGTGAGATCCCTCGGCAGTTCGATTGATTGGCGAAGGTAGATCAATTAATGGTAGATTTCCCAATAGTAGATTCATCAAAACGTAACTAGGCTACAAACCTTCCAGCTTAGTTATGTTCACTGTTTGTCGTGACGTGCATATATGTCCATTATAGCCATCGGTTGTCAGGGGGTGAAGATGGTGTAAGATGGTGTCAGATGCTTTGTTTGTCAGACGCTTGTAGTGTGGTGTCGGATGGTGTAGGATGGTTCAGCTGAACAGCTTTTGTCACTTGGTGAAGATGGTGTAAGATGGTGAAGATGGTCTAATGGGGGGGGGGTATTAATTTTTAACCTACTTGTGTAAGTATAATGTTGCCTTGTTCTTTCAAATCCACGTATATATCAATAAAACCTACCAGACCAACGACAAAAGCGTTATGGCTAATTGTGCATATATAGTGTTGCTTCGTTCTTTCAAAAAACCACGTATATATATCAATAAAACCTACAAGACCAACGACAAAAGCGTTATGGCTATAATTGTACATATATAGAGTTGCCTCGTTCTTTCAAAAACACGCTTCGTATATAGTAAACTGCAGTAGCAAACGCGTCAACGCATTACTATACAGTCTTGGACAACGTCAAAAATTGTGTATTTATACGTTTCATATGTATACATACTTATATTCGCTTTCACATTTTAGGCATTTCCGGGCAGGAAACTATAAATTATAACAGTTATAGCATGCACTAGCGGGCTGTAACGCAGCCATGCTATGTCAATGACAAATAGATGCATAAGCCAGCAGGGTTCTTGTTTTAAATTAATCTTGTGCGCACTTTATATAACTGAATGTAGCAATTCATTGCATTATTACCTTTTACTGCTTCAAATTCGGCCGGAAACTACAATGACAAATAGAAAACAGCAGGCATCTCAGTCTAAAGTAAAACACTAGGAAGATCATGTGCGTAATCTTTGCAGAGTTTTCAAACGAATTTAACTCCCAATTATACAAAATGCAAATTTCAATATACAGTACAAAATATATTTCAAACTCCTCGAAAATATAATATATAAAAATGTTTGACACGTACAGTATGGCTATATATACTGAGCACGGAACTGAACATATATACATTCATGGACTGTAATAAGAGCCTGCGGAGTGCGCTGCGGTGCATACAGCGCCTCCGATGCGCTCAATTATGCGAGGACTAAAAACTATAAACAGAACAAAACGACGAATAAAGGAATACCGAATGGTTTTCCGTGCAGGATTGCGTGATCCGTGCACGAGGGATGTTGCGAGACTTTCGGAAAGCGTAAAAATACACGAGCCGTAGGTGAGTGTATTTTTACGCTTTCCGAAAGTCGAGCAACATCCCAAGTGCACGGATCACGCAATCCTGCACGGAAAACCATTTGGTAATTGTTTTATAAAATTACTACATGAAACGACGTTTAACTTGATTAAAATTACTGATGAAATGTGCAGTTCTCACAACATTCGTGAATTAACCAATCAGAGAATCGCTAATCCACGCTATTGAAAACAACAACATATGTGAACAGAATTTGATCGCAAATTCGCGAAAGTATACAGCAAAAATACAGGGACTTTTTCGATAAAATATACGAAATTTGAAATGGAAAACCTGCTAAACAGACAGTCAAAGTAGTAGTGAAGATTCTCTAGCTGAATATGTGAAGATTGCAAAGCGTTTGATCAACTTTGAAGCGAGAGATGTTGTACTTGCATGCCATGGTCTGATGAATTTCAACCTTACGCCTTCCCTGCGAGAACAAAGGGAATACCCGCAATCATGATATTATTCCAGGAAAGCCATAGAACCCAAGGTTGCGCCCAAATGCTTTTGCGCCTGCACAGAGATATTGATCGCTGTCCCATCAAAAATAGCATGAGCACTTTCTTCTTTTCCAGGCTTTATGATCAGCCAGCATTTCTTAGCATTTGGAAAGTATCCCAAATTAGGGCCAGCTTCATTCAGGTGTTCCCACCATCGCTTGATATCTTCCAGAAATCCCGTGCCACTCGCGTCGTCAGCAAACCAACATTGCTTAACATTGCTTGACACATTCAATCCGGTGATCAGGGGTTGAAGACTGATGGCATACATCCCCATGGCCAGGGGATCCCCTTGTGTGGTACCCTCGGTGGACGCGAGCTCTCCTCCACCAGATATAAATAATCTAGCTGGTTCGCGATAGGTGTTAATTGCATAGGTTGATATAGATGGACACAGAACTGTTATGTTGTGTGCGTTTGAGACATCAATCAGAAGTACAGCATCTGTCTCATCTGCTTCAAATATGGAGTGCATCCCATGAACGGCTGCCTCACTTCCGCTCTTAAGACCTGCGCACACCTGTAGCGATCCACTGGCATCAATCACGTCGGGCTTAATCACTTTCATAACACATTTCCCGACAATCCTCCTGATAACTTCCCCGACGCCAATTGGACGAACCGCACCCTCGCCTTTGTCAAGAGGTATAAGCCTGTTGGCTAATATAGGCTTGAAAGTTCTCGGGTCAATGTGTTCCGTACATAGCCGCCGGGTCATTGTTGCTACTGCCTCACACAAGTTTACGCCTGATTTCACGATTTACATGCGAAAATACGCTTGAATCGATTTGCATCCACTCCTGAAGGGCCGCTGGAGCCCTTGGTTCGCAATGCTGTCTCGTGTATCATTTCGCCATCAATCTGCTGATATAACGAATCGTGCACTTCCTCAAATGGCCCGAAGAGTAACGAGCCAAGTTTGGCCTCTTGTGCCTCAGGGTGTTTCTCCTGAAGCTGTCTCATCACGTCGTCATTCAAAGGCAGCACTCACAATCAGCCTCACTGAGATATCTCAAAGCAGAATTGATCTGACCTTCCATGACCAACTTGGCGAATATCTACGCTTTATTTGGAGGCTCCGTCCTTTTAGCCTTTGCTAGACGCTTTTGAATGGACCAGCCTTCACGAAATAAGCTCTCGACTTCTTCTTTCCATAGTGCTAGTCGTTTTTCCAAGCACTCTTTGTGATCTTTTGCCTTCGATTTTATGCTTGGCTTTTGCAGTGCCATACCCTGGGTTCAGAGGTTTTCTGGAGGCGACGAGGCGGGGAAAACCTCTGGGCGCGACCTGTCGAATTTCATTTCCATGACGTAATTTATTAATGTTTCACACTTCCGGTCTGAAGGATGTAGTCCAGTACGTAGGCATATTCAAAAGTATTCAACAAAAACATATTCCCCTGATCAATTTTGTTGTGTTTGCCAACGTTACATTAATTGTTGTATTCGGAAGAGGAAAATGTAATATTTTCTCTGGGAAGATTTCCAATAAACTGGCGCATTGGCTATCTATTTTGGACACCTGTCTCCAAATTTTATACTGATGACAAATTGACAATCGGCAAATCTGTCCATTCTAAGCAGTTTCAAGTTACAAATTCAAAATACAAGCAACAATCAAGTACATATTTTAATACTTGCATGTGAAATATAAAGTAATGACAGTTATTGAATTATTACTTTCAGGTTTGATGATACAGAACGTTCTATATCTGTTTCGGGCTTTACATTGTGTATATTTACATATAAAATATATAATATATTTAGCCCAAATGCCTTGCTACAACTGAATTTTTGTTCATAAATATTCATGAATTCCACAATACGGGTTACACAATTTTAAAAC